ACTACTAGTAAGGCACTTGTTCCTAGTAGCTTCTTGTTTCTAATAGCGTTTTGTTACTACTAGTAAGGCACCTTACTAGCGATGTACTTGTTTCTAATAGCGTGAGGTTTCATGAGGCTTCGAAACCAGAAGTCTGACCATTTCTGAATTGAATGCCAGTGAGATGATCGGGATGTTCTATTCACGTTCCAGCTCGCCCGGTCATCAGTGGCTCAGCAAACATGTTGGGATGTTTGAATGATGAAACTCTGTGGAGGTAACCGCCACAAAACGCCTAGCGACTAAGCCACACTACTGTGGGCTACCTGATAGGTGAGAAATGAGGCAATATGGAACAATAACCTCATACGCTGCAGTGCAGTGCCAATCTGTGGGCTGAATTCATGGAAGAGATGCAACCAAATGTGGGATTCCCGGTCTCAAGCAGCTGATTGCAGTGGAATCCATATCTTGATGCTTCTTGTATCGTTTTTGCCTTGAAGAATCATCTCTTCCAAAGCAACATCACCCGTAGAACGGTCTTCCCGTAGAACGCCCCATCGCCCCATGTGGTGACCCCATGCCGCGGTGCCTCGCTGTGGGTGATGGAGGCGCCGCCTTGGAGGAGCCACTCTTGCAGAGTCTCCATCTGTGTCTCTTGGTGTGTTTGTTCGTGTCTCTTTAGCAATGAGTTTATCACCAGGATCAAATCCGGGGAACAAAAACATCAAACTTCAGATTCACAGGCAAAGAAGAAGCTGGTGGGGAAAAAAACAGAAAAAAAACATGACGTCAAAACAATCCTGCAGAAGGCTCTTCTCCTGAAGAGATCACACAAGCCAGTGTCACCAAAGAACCCACTGGGCACGCATTTGTGTTTATGGCAAGCTACATACGGAGAAAAATATGCTGAGGCTCCAGGAATCTGTAAGGTTACGTGTCTTTGCAAGTCCCTCTTTCCCGAAACCTCCTTGAAAGTCAAGTTGATACATAGCGTGAGTTGATCTAACCTGTAAGGGTGACGGGTGCAAACACGAACGTGATCGTACCATATCGTACCTACTGCTGCGAGCAGGGTACCGGGTAGGGGAGAGGGAGAGTTGGAGCGAGGGAAGGAGGAAGAGCGAGCAAGCGAGTGAGTGAGTTCCATTGCATGAGAGTTTCATTCTGCACCATTGCGCAAATCTTTGCCGACAAGCCGTGACAAGCTCTAATGTGCAAAGCTTCGTGAGTACACTGTGTGCTGTCTTTAGTGGTCTTCCTGCCCAAACAAAAAAAACACGTAGACAATTATCTTTCAGGGTCTTTGTAGCGTTGTATACGTTAAGGCGCCTTTGCGGCGGCTCTTTTATATCGCATGAACATCTAAGGCTAAGCCAGGGTTGGCATGGCACGCTAGCCCTTCGACCAACTTTTTTTTTGAGCCGACCCAACCCAACGTCACGGAACACTTCCCACAAAAATATGGATCATCCAATATCATCCACATCATGTCAACATATTTGAACCATTGGCAATCCTTAACAAACTGGCACTTGGATGGTCTCCTGCAAGAAGCCTGGACACTCTGTCGCGACTGAAGGACAACCACCCAATGACGGCCTGTCTTGCTCAACCAGTGCCATCCAGTGCCCATCTTCCCATCCATCTTGGCTCCCAGACTGCTACATTGGTTCTGGCCGCCAGGCTGCTGCTCACTGAGTGCTGCGTGCCCTGTGTGCCAGGCCGGGCCGACTGCTGCGTGGCCGGGCGGCTGCCCGACGCAGACTGCTGCGTGGCCGGTCGCCCCGCCGACTGCTGCGTGCCGGGTCGCCCCGACTGCTGCGTCGCTGGTCGGGAGGCCTCAGTTTCGGTGGGCTGGGAGACGGGTCGAGATCTGGTGCAGAGCCCGCTACGAACGGAGCATTTCGGGCATCGCTACGAACGGAGCGATCGGATGCTATGAATGGGGCTCCTGGCCTTACTACTAGGAGCAATGACGCTACTAGGAACTTCTCTTTTATAGTTCATGTGGGTGTTGTGAGTTCCAATTGCAACATCACCGAGAACTTGATCATTCGGAGCCATGCAACACATACCAGGAAAGTTGCAGGATCCTTCCTTGAGGCATTGGCACTCTTTGCGCCCTTTGTTTAGTTTACACCATGATTGAGAAGTAGATACACTTCTGAGTCGTCTGCAAGACCTAATTACTGTACATGGACAATGGATATACTATGAATATACGTGCATATGCTGCACAATGAAGACTGGTCCCAAATGGATTATACATGATATACTATAATGGATATACTATGATATACTATATGATATACAATAATTGTACTATTTTTCGTCTCGTCCAACTCCCAAGATTCGGAGCTCTAGTCCGTTTGACATCCTAAAAGCCTGGCTGGCATCGTCGGTCGAATCCAACGTCTTTGGTGGTAGTCACCATACCATAGTGATAGATTCTGCCATTTGGGAACATAATCTGGTCAAACCATGGCTATGGTTTACCATCAAATTCTCGGGGATAACATGAAAGTCTATGCGTATGTCTCAAAATAAGGGGTCCTCCCAAAGTGAGTACAGTATTGTAGTCACAAGAACTGAAGACCGTGTTGATATTCTTGGCAACAGTCACTACTCCTTTCCAGCTGATCTAGTCACTGGTGTCTTGACAAGAGACCTGGATCACAAAGAAAACAGGAACTCTAAGAACAATGGACCTTAAGATGGACACGTTCTGCATCACTGAACCTCAAGAGCAGCATGCCACATGAGTTTGTGAGGTGTTAAAAACGGATCTCTCGGGGGCCTTCAGCACGCTACCCAGCAGCTCCGTCCAGGTTCGAAGCGGGGCTCCGCACTGGGCGCGAGCCACTGGAGCCCTGCGGAGCCGGGACGAGCGTTGGATGCGGTCGGTCGGTCACGGTCAGCTCAGAACCGGATCCGATGAGAGAACTGATCCGTTGGTCTCTGGAGGGGCACCACCCATAGATATCTATAGAGACTATCAGTGCTATCTGTGCTATCTGCTACCAGATGCTACCAGGCCGCCAAAGTGTTCAGATGTGCTCTTTAAGGAAACTGCATTTCATGTCCACCAGATTCCACTTGCGCCCACTGGACTTCCACAACACAAGAGCGTTCAGAATGACCTGAACGACACCACGACCGCCAGTCCCGTTCGGGTGAATACCGAACGTCTGGCAGACCGAACGATCTTCCAGCTGTGAAATTGGTCTTCCGAGCTGGAGGTGCTTTTACAGAAAAGTGCAGAGTGTGCCCCGGGCGGGTGGAACAGTTCCAGTTCCAGTTCCACGTCGTTCAACACAGGAGACTGGGGAGGGGGGAGGGGAGTTCCAGTTCCAGTTCCACGTCTGAACCATCCAGGATGATGAACCCGCGTTTTGGGCACACTGCTGTCCACGTGGTTCACCCCTTTCAGATCCCTCCGGTGCCTCGGTGCGCCGGGCCCCCCGACCGATTCCTTCGAGCCCAAGCCCCGCAACTGTGCCTTGGAGCGGCTCGAAGGACTGAAGATGGAGGAAATAAACATGAACGGCACTTGTTCCTACTAGCGTGGCACTTGTTACTAATATACTACTAGTAAGGCCAGGAGCCCCTAGTAGCTTCTTGCTCCTAGTAGTAAGGCACTTGTTCCTAGTAGCTTCTTGTTACTACTAGTAAGGCACTTGTTACTACTAGCGATGCACTTGTTCCTAGGTTCAAGAAAAACAAAAGGCAAATTGTATATACTCAATATTAGGTATATAACTCAATTATGTATTTACCCAATAAGGAGGCACTATATGTGACATGTTCAAAACGTCCACTTTAAAAGCACTCAAGAATAACAAAACAAACTACACAATTAAAATATATGTAAGAAAATGTGTAAAGAAAACACACATTAAAAAATATATACTCGGAGGTCTGGGCAGTGCGGAGGTCTTGGTGTCGCAAAGACTCGGAGTCCCAAACACTTGGGGTGCTTGGCTGGTCAAAGACTCGGCTTAGACTGGAAGACAGACGGCCACAAAAGCACCACCAACAAACAAAAAGCAGGAACACACACAAAGGCACACTATGTATGTTGGACACCCAGTTTTCTTTTTTTGTCCAGTCCACACCCGCATTTTCAGGGTCCATTTATTATCCTCTACACTGATGTTCAGGTTCACGTTTCTCTCCAAGACAACGACCGCAGATCCGACCCACGCATTCGTCCTCCCCGCATTCCTTTCATCCCACCCGCTTACGACACGTGTCGCGTGTCGTGGACGATGGGACTCGCCTCGGTGTCCCCGCCTGTTCCGCCTGTTCGGTGGCGAGGAACTGAGCCTCTTCCTCATCGATCTCCTGGCGACGGCGTGTTTCCGCGAGACGTGGGACACTCAGCGACGGATCCATCCATTCGTCACGGGGAACGATGGATCCACGGATGCAAGATAATGCACTGAACCATAAAGCAACTTGGAATCCAGGGATTCAAAATTACCGTGCTGGATCCTTCAGAGAAAAATGGTTCATGTCGAATCGAGCTGTCGACCTGCCCTGCTTTCTTTGGAGTGCTTCCAAGACCCACCTACCTGCCGTACTTGTCTAGATATTTTGTAAGATCGAAAAGTGCCCATATTCCCCATAGGAAAGGTTGGAGAGCTTCCTGAAGCCCATTTCCGAACCTCCAGCATGCCAGACCAAGTCCATGAAACATCAGCGTCCTTCTGTAACCGTGCCATCTCAGCTTGTCGCATCTCCTGCTCTTCCTTACACGACAAGGCCGTCTGCTATGACTCGATGTTCGAGACCATGGAGCGCTTTCGAATCATTTCATGACGTCCTTTCATAAAGGAAATATGATTGATGTGTCCCGGTTCGAAGAGCCCGTTTTCAGGTATTTGGGGTGCATCCGCGGCTCCAGGAAACACAGCACTTATAGGTAAATGTGTCCCCTGTTTCAGAGCCCAATGACTTCAAACAGGGTCTTAACACACTTCTGAAACAACAAAGGCATACTTTACTAAACCGCACGGTTCTTGGTGGACACCAAAAATACATCAAGGATTCTTGGGAGCCCTTACGGGTCTCCTCCAAAAATCTTCAGAACATAGCGCCCCATGTTTACATCTCTGGTACTTCCAGATCCTGCCAGTTGCCCGATTCCCAAATAAAAACTATACATCGTTACAGATCTGGTAAGCTTCAAGCAGGGAGGACACTTGAAGAGCAAAGAATAGCAAACATCTCCAAGTCGAACCCCACGTTCGACAATCTAGGCCCAAGTCCGGTCCACCGACTCGACAGATCGCACTGTGCCAACAAGTCGCCCGTGGGATATCGTGCCGCTGCCGAATCACATCCCAAAGTCCTTGTCCTGCAGCATCCTGGGGTGCAACGCTAAAAGACCGGGGTGCGGCACACTGAGCTCTGAAAAAGACGCTTGGACCTACCGTGGTTTCAGGGGGTTCAATGTAGCCAGTGGTGGCCACAATGCCCAGATGAGAAACCAGAAGTCTTGGGGTGTCATCGACTCTGAATCCAGACAATGCAGCTGGTACGGCCAAAAAGGAGCACAGGAGAACTAGGGTGGTTGGAAGAGAATCCCAGACCTGTTGTGCCCTTTCAGGTGGTTTCCTAATCTTTTCTGACGTGCCATGCTGTTTGGATGCCCTGAACAACAAAAGAGCCATCATGGCTCGGCGAGTGGGTGCCGACACGTCCATAATTCTTTTATTTTTTGGTTGTAGAAGGTCTCTCACTGAAAAAAGTCATTCCATATTACTCACAAGCATTAAATATGTGTTTCTTTTTTGTGTTGCATCTGTCCAATGTGTTCTTTTTTTTTTGGTTCCTAAAAATTATTGGATTGGCACGAAGCCCTCAGGGTTACCTAAAGTGTTTATCCTACCTCTGGTTCTACACGGTCCTACCACTACCCAGCCCAAAACTATACATGTGTTCAATCAATTCCATGTTGGTTGGTAAATGCCATACCAATGCTTCTGCTCTTTTGCTCAATTGGCGACTAGATTGATTAAGGAGAAACTGTCACCAACCCACCAACCAACTTGGTCCCTCCTTCAGTCCCTTCTTCCTTCTGATCCAGTACATCAACAAAAGCACCACTCCCGCCTGCCTCTCTAACAAGGTCCCACAGGAACTGGGGCATGTCGGCTAGGACCTGGCTGAAAAAGTCATGAAAGTTATATAAGGGATAAGTATTTCGGAGGCCATCGCTAGATTGGAGGCCCTCTCAAGTGCGTGTTTTGCTGCCTTTGGTCTGGGTGTGATCAACCAATCTCTACAGATCGACCCGCCGAAATCCCACCTTTAAAACATACCACAAATTATTCTTGTTACTAGTAGCGATGCACTAGTAGTAAGGCACCTGTTACTACTAGCGATGCACTTGTTTCTAGTAGCT